TAATAATAATCCTCCCAAATCCCAGATAAGTCAGTGCCACAGTAAATCCAAGGTGATAATGTTTGGTGTTGTCTCATTTATAGAAGTGTTGATTCATTGCTTATCCATTTTACCTTTACAGTTACAGTTCACCAGCTTCATAGACACCTCTAAAAATGGCTCCATGTCACTGTTACCTCCATGGAGGATCTACTGCTCAGCTGTAGGTGGATTGATTTGGAGTTTCATGCTAGTGCTACCTTAAGTTACATACTGTAGCTTTATGTATTGAAAAAACAATCACAAATTGTTGCCTTAAATACAACACTAACAATTTTGGTGCTTTTAATTGACATTGGTCAAATTAGTTTTATTTTAGGGGGACATGGTGACAGCTTAGGTTGATTGGTGACTCTCAGTTGGTCATAGGAGTGAGTGAGAGTGTGTATGGTTGTTTGTCTACTTGTCAGCCCTGTGACAGACTGGTGACCTGTCCAGGGTGAACCCCGCCTCTCACCCAGCTGGGATAGGCTCCACCCCCCTATTCAAGAATAAGCGGTATAAATAATGGATGAATGGATAGGTTTATTTTTTGTGCAGCATGATATTTGCATCCATTTTTCTGACTGTGTTGTTGTGCAGTACATGGTTCCCCTTAGCTGGGGGAACCACGGTACAGCAGCAATGTCCCCGGCTGGGAGTAAATAAGAAGCGCAGCCAAAGCTAGCTAAAGAAAGCACTGTGTGTTTCATTTTTTACACAGAATAAATAGTTTGACATGTAACAAGCTATGGTTTATTATTTCATAGAACTAAGGGGTTAATTTACTTTTTACATATATTTCAAATGTGCCACCCTTCTCTAAGTCTGTGTTCCAGCCTGGACACCCCATCCAAAATTTTTAGAACCACCCCCGATGTACAGCTGTGGGCCCCCAAATAATGAGGAAGTAAAAACATTTTCAATAGAAAGTATAACATTTGACCCCATGAATGACCTTTGCTAAACATCCATCCTTAAAGCTAAAAATCTCTGAAACAGTAATACTGTACTGTAGTATTGTAGCTTTACACATTTATGATGTGCAGCTGAACATTGTTCTAAGCCAGATGACTTTATTTTTAATTCTTCTGGAGAGTAGATACAGATAAAGTATGACTTTGAAAAGACTCAGAGACTCTGCTCAGAACGTGTTATTTGTATTAGGTGGAGTGGTGCAGCTGTAAAATCACAGTCTCGTGTATTTCACTAATCATATAGCATAAACATAGGTTATATGTGCAATACTGTCAGACAGCGAGAAATAATAGAAAGCTACTTAATGGTAAATAAAAGACATTGTAAAATATTCAGTATCTTGTTTATCTAAACTTTTAACTTTCAGACCTTAAGGTTGAATTTGTTTCCTTCCTGAGCCTCAGCAGAAGATTACTGCTTTATTAATACAGTGTCATGTTTCTATCAGCATTTTGCTATTAACCATGATTAGCACAGTAGACTGCTGAGTTTAAGTAAAAAAAAATTAAAAACCACCCCCTGTCTTTCCCTGCGGGGAAACAATGCTGTCTGAGGGAGAATATTGCAGAGTGTGCTGCAGTGATGAACATTTCCTCCTGTTTCATGTTTAACCCTGCTCATTTCCCACAGTAAGAACCCCAGAAACACACAAGTGTGCACAGCAGCTTGGGGGGAAGATGACTGATGGCTTGTTGTCATGATGTTTGGGATTCTGCCGACTCGAAGCCTCCTGGCTCACTGAAGCTGTGAAGTGCTGCAGTACATTCTACAGGCTATTGTTGAAAAGTCCTCATATTAGCAAGGTATTGCTTCATTGTCACACTGTTGAGCCTGTGCAGAATGCAGTTATCTGTAATCTCCCCAGCCATTTGCACAGTACTTGCATTGGATTTATGATTATGGTTCATGTACTGTGGCAGATTTCATACCATTCAACAATAAAGCAAGGACACTTATTAGAATCTCACACTGTGAGTGGATGGACTTTTTGTTTTCAAGTCGTATTCCCTAGATCGTGTGTGGGCTGAGTATACACTAAGCTAAACCTCACTTCTGACATCACTATTTTTCAAAAATGTCAATATTTGAAAAACACTGACATGCTCTATCAATCATATAGATAGCCATCTTTCAGCCGGTCAGCGTGCCACCCGAATATCTGTATCTGCTTCTTCTGGAGCCCTGCTCTAACCAGTTTTCTCTATTTCTCTTTTTGCTTTATTTCTTTTTGTCTTTTTGCCATATTACAATTCTTTCATCTCTATCATGCCACACTGATGAGCCATAGCCCCTTATGAACACAGCTGAGATGACTGTCATATTCCCCTCCTGGAACTGCATTAACAGCAGTGACCTCTCAGGCCAGCAGTGACAGTCATCTGTCAGCACTGGTTAATTCTCGGTCTTGTGAGGGTCAAGAACCCACATATAATGAGACTTGACAATGTTGTTGAGCTAAACCAGGGTCTGTGTCAACAATATCATGTCAGCAGCAGCAGCATGAGGGTTCAATTCGAGATAATCTGGCAACGGACACACTGATCCCATGGCTTTGACTGCCTATTGACACACATCGGAGCATGGATGCAAAACAAATTAGTGTCAGTCAATATTCTCTCCCTCCTCCAGCCACCCAAGTGCTGTCATGTTTACCTTACCTCTAGTCAAAGCACTACAGACAGCAATGATCATGATAGAAAGTTGCTGCACTGAGTCTGAAAAGGACGTTCGGGGAGTTAGGGGGCACAATATTCACCATGTGTAAATTTGGTTTGAGGGAACTCAAATTCCGAATTGTATTTGTGGCATCCATTTAACCTAAACTGTGAGATTATTCTCTTACTTATTTCTGAAGTCACCTCATGCTAAATTTGTGGTTTAGGGGATGCAAGCTGTCCAGAGGAAGCAACCTCAGATGAGGATCACTTGTTTCTTGCGCTAAATGTGCTAATATAACTTCTGGTGCATAAAGGTGGTGGGCAGTGATGTGGAGTGCTCCATTTATGCTAATCAAACATATGGCACTCCTAAAAACAAACAGGCATTGTTGTTCTCCAAAATGAAAAGTTTACTTGGTTTTAAATGTAATTTGACTGCATCCAGGGGCTGTAACAGGCTGAGGTTGAGGCTTTTTAAAATTCTTTTGCATATAGGGAAGCAGAGATTGCTCACACCTGTTTTCCCTCTTCTTCTTTTCCCCTCCCTGCAACCCCTCTCCTGGCCCCCTCCCTCTGCTGAAAGCCATTACAGAAATACAATTTCTAATACCTCCGCACAGGTCTTCGATCGACTGCAAACAAATTTATATTCAGGCGGTAAACAGAAAGCTGCAGAGATTTATTTATTGAGTGTGGAGGAGAGAAACAAGCTAGCGCGTGAACCCTGAGTAACCTCCGAGCTGACATGAAGATGGATCAGTGCACCATGCAAATGCATGGAGAGAAGGGATATATTGCACTCAGTCATTCAGCACATCGCTGCCTGTAGAATCCCATTAACTCCCACAGCTGGGGCCATATTTCTGTGTTGTAAGAATGCAGTTAGAAGTTGTTCATTACCCTGAATTATTTTGTAATTACTATAGACTTAAAAGACCTATAGGAAATATTGTTCAATAAAACGATAAGAACATAAACTGATAAGTTTATTAAATGTTGTGTGCTTGTTTAGTATTGTTATTTGAGATGTAGCTTAATAATAACAAAAATAATAATACATGGCTATTAAAGAAAACATTATATTGTTTAATTTTAATTTGCATTAATTCTTTTTCACTGATTTATTAAACAGTAACTGCAATAAATAAAAATAATAAATAAGGACATGTAGTACCTTTCCAGCATAAGACCAACATCATTGCTCCTCCAATCCCATGAAACATGACTGAATTTGTTCTGTACTTTAATTTCATTTCTTGGAAATAAAATATTTCTATATAATATTTTGGGAGTAAAGCAGGTTTAAGAGATTAGACATGAACAGTTAGCTCTATCAATTCCCATTATTAAAAAGATGCCAGTGAACGACACCGTGACGCGCGTATTTTTAAGTAGGTCAACCAACTTCACTGTGCGGCTCCATGACATTTTCACTTCTGCTGTAGAAGTTAAAATGCTCTGTGCTCCTGTAGACCCAAACACAGGCCAACAGAATTGTTGATTTTTATTTTTTTAGTACAGTGTTTCAACAGTTGTATATTAAGACGCTCTATTTTTGGCGGAACAAACTCCAGCCGAGGTTTAACTTTGGATGAACATCTCTTTTCTGTCACTTACAACTTCTTGATCTCAGCTCGGAGCCAGTTTTGTATTTGTGCGGGACTAATTACAAATCTGCTGCCACTGAACTTCTAAATGCAAGCTGTCACGACCTCTGAACCCATTAAGTGTGCCTTTCACATGACCCAAGCCCTTTGCTAAGGAGGGCCTCGGGTTTTTCAAGAAGCCTTCACTAATTTGCATAATCCATTACCTACATCAATGTAGGCCTGTATTATGCTAATTTCGCTTTGGAAAAAGAAGTTTTCTTTGTTCTCTTGAAAAATATTCATTAAACAAGAGTCTGACCCACAGCATACTTTCTGTTGAGGCCACAAACTATGATACGGACATGTCTGACGTCACAGCCTACCTGTCTGAATAGGTGAGAGGCCGGTGATGCCCTCAGAGCCTGGTGGTGCATGACGGTAATAAACTTTCTTGTTGCTTTTAAGGCAGTTTGTAGTTTTTGTTGAGGTTTGCATACTCTGTATGCTCTGACACCATTAAAATACTGAACTGAAGTTAGTTTCACAACTGTCTTTCTCAGGTTGATGTGTTGTCTTCCCTGATGACAGAGATGTCCCTCTATTGGCCGAGACCAGGAGGGCACGTCATCTCCATCAATCAGAGACTGCTGTTTCTCCTCTGAGGAATATCCCCAGCCTTGTCTAATCGCCTGACCATGCGTTACTGGATGCATGAGAGTGCAACCCCGTCCAAAGATTATGCAGGGGAGAGGTGATAATGACTTCCTATCAAGAGTTAGTGGCCGAGGGGGAGAGTAGCCCTCTGTTCACGGGCTGCTGCCCAGCGAAAGGGGTCATAAACCGGGACCTCAGCGGCAGGGCTCATCCTGAACTCCACAGTCGTGATGAAGAGGGGCAACTGGAGTTTAATTCTCCGCATCCCTGGTACTTAACTCTCTCCAACAATTTGGCTTTGTGCACCTCTTCAGACAGCCCACCACCCCCTCCTCCTCCTCCTCCTCCTCCTTCTCCTCCACCACCACCACCGTGTGAGAGTCTCGGATGCTTTTCGATACCGGCTTGCCCCCAGTTGTCCCGTTTCCCCTGGCGGTGCAGGGCGCAGGGGCAGAGCTCTCCAGGACGCGGGTACTGCGCATCAAACAATAACGACAAGAGACACTTCGGTTCTGGGTCCCTCACAGATAAAATTCAAATCTGCTCTCATAATGGTCCCGCGGTTCACGTCGCCGTGGGAAGTTCATCCAGCTCGGACCGTAGCGTCGCTGATAGAAGGAGTAAAACTTTTGAGTGGATGAGAGTGAAGAGGAGTCAGCGTCGGGCGGGTAAGTTTTTATCACGGTGGACTAAACAGGGCAGGACGAATAAAGCAAACCCTGAGACACATGTACTCATGGTATAAATTAGTTCATGTTTGGTTTTTAGCTTTGGATAACTTTCTTTCATAGCTGGGAAAGTTTGCTCTAAGTTTTCTCCACAAGCTTGAAAAAAGAGAACAAATTGCTGACGTGTTTTGTGCGTCACTGTGCACATTTTCCTCCGCCACCAACAAACAAAGACTAAATTACACATAAACATTTGCCACTCTTTAAAGCATATCAATACATAAAAAGGCAACACTATCTGGTCACTCGACGCCAAATTTGATTATGCACACAGGGACTCGGTTACTATTTCCTTAACGGTCCCATGTTAATCCAAGCCTGTTATGCTCCACCTACTGCTACAAGCACAGCTGCTATATATAGACTGTACACAGGAGGGTGAAGTACAGTAAAAGGCCTGGTTAGCCTTAGTGTGTATTCAACCCAGAAAATGCTCAATTATTTATGCTTGCCCTTACTAACCAGTAGCCTTTGAATAATGCAACAGACCACTGCCCGTAGAGACTCGCAGGAAGTTGAGTAAAACCTACTCTTGTAAGCTGGAGCGCTCCCTAAGTATTGATTAGTTGTCTGTTTGCAATGAAAGCCCCTGTGTATTGATTTCAGTTTGCAGCACCTTTACATGTGTCCACCTTTTTAACATAATTGCTGTCACAGATCATCATTTCCCTGACTGATGAGCCCTGGGCAGAGAGCCCACAGAAGAATACATATCCCAGGCTTCAAAAATACCAGTAGCTTACTAATGTGAGAAATACCTGTTAATCCCCAAATTTATGTGAGTTATAGTATGGAATATAGATCCTTCATTTGATCAGTGATGCCAGTTGTTGACTGACTGGCCACTGAACTTGGATTTCATTAATTTTACATGGAGGAAGATTTACAACAATGGTGGTCCAGTCTTTTTTTTTCTGCACAGCATTCAGTCTGTTGAAAAGGTTCAGTGACCAAAAATGCACATTGATCATTACCACAAACTGTTTGTGTGAAAAGGCCTCTGCAAGGCATGCCACAAATGCAAAACCTCTGCAAAATTCAGACTAGAACTAATGTGAGCTTTGCACGTTACCTCTGACAAAGGTGTCAGCGCACTAAAGGTGACAAACATCTTTAGACTACTGTGTTGCACATGATGCAACAAACACAAAGCCACAGTTTATAGTTTTTCTTAGCTCCTTGCATACTCAAAGTTCAGATTAGTGGGTAAAATTATACGCTTTCATAATTTGATAAAGATAATTGCTTATTGTGCCGGTGCCAGAAAGGCAAAAGTAACAAAAACACCTTTGATTTGAAACAAATATTTCAATGTTATCTGATTCAACAAGCACAAAAATTATCATATACATACATACACGTAAAACACAAACGTGTCCTGATGATACAGCTGTAAATGAAGCTAAATCTGGCATTAACACGTTTGATTTGTCATAAATTTTATAACATTGCAAGACACAACAAACCAAAAACTACAGTTTCACGCCTCTGATTACCTACTCCCATGTTCATAACTAGCGGGTAAATACTTTTCCAATGATGCCACTGTAAAAGAGGCAAAAGATGACAGCAACACCTTTGATTGGTCTGCAAGTCATTTTATAGATAAAACACATTAACCACTCATCTGATCCTAATCCATGCACTCGAGAAAGCCATTTGCTCACAACCACCCACACACAAAAAAAACATCTCCTTGCAGTACTGTTAGTATCTTTGTAACCTTTCTCTGTATCTCTCTGAAGGGGATCATCTGTAGGAGTAACTCATTAGCGCTACTGTGTAACTTATAAAAGAGTCATTAGTAAAAGTGTGCTTTCCTCTGGAGGTTGTATTGGTTTGGCACAGAACAAAGTCTTGTGTATTCTTCCATGTTGAAAGGCCTCCACAGACCTGCTGTAACCTGATCCCCTGGCTCAGTGTATATACTCCCAGTGCGTCATTCTTCAATTATGCTTTGACAGCACCTGAATTACTGTGGGCTGGATGCCCAGATGACTGAGGCAATGTGTATTGATCTATCCCTTTTCTTCTTCCCTCTCCTCAGCTTGGAAGTCCCTTTCATTCCCTTTGCTGGCTGGCTATTTTTAAGTGTGCAAGTCATTCCTCAAATATTTAGTTTGATTCTTATATGCCTTCTGGCTGGCATCAATTCTATTATCTTTGGAGCCATTAATCAGAATGTGCATGTGATTTGCACTACAGAAAGCTGAAGTTCTTAATTACGTACAGTTCCTCTGTATTGGCCCTTCATATTTGCTGCCCTCTAATTCTCAGACTGGGTTATTCGTTTTCTCAAAACATAGATGTTGACATTTATCCTATAACTGACCTTTCCATCTACTGTGCTTTTCCAAAGTGGCTACAGGCCTGTTAACCTTCCTCTCTATGAATTGTGGTGGGAGACGTTGCACTACACCTGGCACACTGGCTCCATTATGCAGCAGCAGCAGCACATTTTCTCAGAGGCAAAGACACATTGACGACTACCCACAGTGTCAGCAATGAAAAATCAAGATATAGCTGTGGTTCCTGTCATTCATTGCACATAAGTAGCACAGATGATACTTTAATGTGTAACCCTGAAACCTCAGAGGAAAAAAATGGAGACATTTGTCATTAATGCAGTGTTTGAAAGGATTTGTAAACTGTTAAACTGTCATTGACACAGAAAGGCCTAGAGGAAAATTACTAATGATTTTGATCAACACACTTAATGGACTGTAAATTTACCATATTGTTTTGAATTGCCAAACGTTTCTGACTACATATCTGCAATATACGTCAGCATCTCTTTATTTTTATTTTCATTAAATTTTTATTTATTTCTTTTTTTTACTACAGGTTGGTGAGCGTGTCACTATAAAGCGTAACATTTTGTAGTGTAACCAAATGTACACCACAATCAGAGGCGTTGATTCAAATCTCTGCTAATTTTTCACGCTGTCATTTGTGATATCATTGCAGTGGACTGCATAATATTTCACGGGTGTTTCTGTTTTTGTGTCCACACCTTTAGAAAGCACACAGCTCCCCACTCTGTTTTACAGCTCCAAAAGGTTTTGCAATGTGCCTTTAGGCTACTGCTGAAGTTCATACCTTGAAATGTATCTTTGTTATACTGACAGAAAAATGGCTCCCAAGTGGTGACTTTAAATCAGCAAACTGGCTCTGGGGCCAGCTCCTACAAATCTGTTTAAGTTTCTTAAAATAATTTTAGGCTCACTTGAACATATGTTTAATAGATTAACAAACTCAATACCAAACAATCCTGTGATTATTTAGTCAATTTTTATTCCTCATTATCACTCAAGTTACCAGTCGAGTATGAATAAATTTAGTTTTAATTTCTGAGACTTTATAAAAGTTATAACTACATAACATTTATCAAAGTTTATTATATACAAATTGTAGAGATAATAATAATAGTTGAAATTGCTGGAATAATTTTGATCGTTTATTGGCGGTGCTAATCTATTTAGGAGGGTTCTGTGCTTCTTTTGTGGGTAACCTCACTGATCTTGCTGACCCCTGTTTTCACGTCCTCTGTTCCCAGCCAGGTTGCACATGACCTGTGGGTTCAGTATTGCTGGCCCGGGCCTCGGTGCTGCGGAGGCTGGAAGCAGCAGCAGCATCTGCACGTATGGCCATCCCACGGTGAACGGGGCGCCGAGGACCAGCTTCAGCACCAAGCAGCTGACCGAGCTGGAGAAGGAGTTCCACTTCAACAAGTACCTGACGCGGGCCAGGCGGGTGGAGGTCGCCAGCGCCCTGCAGCTCAGCGAGACGCAGGTGAAAGTTTGGTTTCAAAACAGACGCATGAAACAGAAGAAATTACAGCGAGAGGGGCTGCTCTCAGACCCGGGGCCCGCGGCTCCGCACTCATAACGCTGACACTTTGGACACCTGCCCCTCTCATGGACCTGCCTCACCAAAACACCTGCCCCTGAACTCCTGAGCTGCATCGTGCGCCAGCCTGCAGATGTTTTGATTCGCCTGGTTTCAGTCGGGCTTCACCTTTATTTGCTTACGATGGATGCTTTTTGCAAGAAGCACAGTGGCAGGTTTTCTTCATGCAAGAACGAGTCAAAACAATTTGTCATCCTCCCCGGCTCCAGACTGGCGCTCTGATTTGAATATTAAAATTCAAGTCATTCCATTGCGCTGCTATCAACACAATGTAAACGGAGATACAAAATTATATTAATTGTCCATAGAAACGATGGCAGGTTATTTGTTTAATTATTTTGAACAATTTATTGAGCACCTGGCTTTACTTGAATATATTATTCCACAGGACATGTGCTTCGTAGTGTTGTTTAAAATAATACAAATGAAGTATTTTTATTTATTCAAGCACTGGATATATATTTTACTGACATATAAATTTAATACACTTTTGTAACTTTTAGAAATCACGCTTCTGCTTTCCCAGTCAATGTCCAGGATTATTTATCTGTCTATTTCTTTAATAAGCTGTTTGTCTGACAGCTCACATTTGAGGAAAACAGAAACGTCACATGCACCTGTTGTAGACAAAGTATGATATGTTAGCAGATAATCATGAGGCTAATTCTGCAGAGCTTTAATGCTTTAATGTAGTTTATTTTGTCCGATATTCAGGTTTTAATTATTCACCGTCCACGGAAAGATTAAAATGCCATAATTGACTGATAGGTTTATTGATCGCTCGTATTAAGAGTATTGATCCGTGGTGATCCATCTATTGGAGGCGTAGGTCTATAGGAGTGTTTGCATGCATGTGTAGCTGCATGGTAATGGAATGGAGAAATATCACGATCGGGAGTTGTTGCGTCTTTTATTACCCTACATGCATCAGAAAATGATAATTTAGCTTGAACACTCATGCGGGAGAACAGACAATAAAGCCCAGTCTGTACTGTTTTGCAGATCAACCAATAAACCGTGAGGCCCCAGCAGTTGGAGCAGCTAAAGATTCTTTCCAAATTCACATTTCGTCTCATATAAAGTAAATGATTGTAAACTCGGCCCTTGAATGCTGTTATGTTCCCGGTGTGGCAATGCGTTTCTATCATGTTAATGTCTATTTTAATATCAACATATGGGCCATCAGCCACTTTAATTCTGTGACTTTTGTTTGGCTTTCAATTAGCGACATTTGCACTTGATGTAAAGTTACGGGATCCATAACGGATGTTAGTAAAAAGGGATTGAGCTTAAAGTAGCTGAGTGTTAAAAATTAAAAGCTATAATCACGATGATTTAAATAGATCTGTAGCCTTAACCTTTAACAGGTGTTTTCACTGGAATCTGGATTGTAAATAAGATACGAATAATAATTATTATAAGACAAGTGCGCCACTGCAGGGCGCAGGAGTGGACATGGAGGCTGCAAGGCACTTTAATGTATGCAGTTACACCAGAGTTCACCTCTCACCTCTTGACCTTTGTCTTGCCTCGGGACAACGATGACCCGGTCAGCGGCTCAGAGGAAGAAAGACGCACCATTAATATATGGGTGACCTCGAAGTCTGAGACTTTTCTTTCTTTCTTTTTCTTGTTTTATATTTTTTTGTCCCAACAAGCAACCCGGAACACTTTTGTTCTGGATCTGTATGTCCACACAATAATATTTCATCAAGCTGAATAGAAAGGCAACCAGGCCATAATTGTTCATATTATAATTTCATACCAGGCCATATAATGCATTTTTTTTCTACACCTAATGCTAACCTCATTTTTACCCTCGCTCTTATTTCAATAAGCCAAAATATGCTACTGGTTCACTTTATAAAGTGGATGAAAGTCTTTTCGCCCAATAGGATTTTGGATATAAACTACAGACCTATTTTTAATAGCAAAGTTGAAAAATTAAAGTTACTTCAGGATAATTAACACTTAATATGACAGAGCCAGTATAAACAAAATTTAGAACAACTATTTAATTCAAGCCTACTGCTCATATTTCATGCATATCTGCTTGAATATTTTTTTAATTCAGACATGATTCCCATCCAAACGATATCATTTTTAATGTTCATCTCATTATTAACTGAAAGCTACAGAGAAAATGTTCAAACTTAAAGAGGAGCGTTGACAGTACAAACATCGAAAAGTTTTATTTGTAATTGATAAGAATACTTTTACATGAGAGCTAGACCGAAAATGTGTTGAACTCAATTTATTTTAAATGTGCATTTAAGCAAAATACACACCAGTAAGCCTGCTGCCTTTCTCTGTACGTGGAATATTTAACAAAAGCCTAACAATGTGTCCATCTGATTAATACAAATAAATGTCCACTTGTGAAGGTTATGAGGACAGTGATCATGGAATAATATGATGATAAAACCTGCGAATAGAAAACCGGTCTCTCATGTCCACCGTTCCTACTGAGAAGTGTGCTAGGTTGACCTTATTAGAAACTCTTTCATCATCTTGTGCAAACACGCTCCCTTGCCACAGGGCTTCAGGCTACAGGTTGTAATGTGCACAGTGGATGCTTGCAGCAGGTGTGCAGGTGAAATCCAAACTGACTTTATTATAGTTTCTAATGAATAATAGATTCTCTTAAAAAAACACAATAAATTAGAAAGAAAATATGGTGGTGAGACAAACATGATGTCAGTTATAAGGATGAGGTGAAGGTGAAAAGGGGGTGAGCTATCACTTCATTTTCACTGTGGTAGCTTCAGCATTTGCCTTTCAACTGGTGAAAGGCAAACCACATTGTTTGTTCAGACCTGACATTTAGCTCAAAAGCATTTGAGTGTGACTCTACTCTGATGAATTTGTGCACCTCTATAATTCCTCCCTGAAGATGTATGGTTGGCTTGTAAGACTGACGGCTGTGCTGTGCTAATACACCAGCAAACACATGGTAAATGTGAGGAAAGTAAAACCAAAATAACTCAGTTCAAAATATATTGCTACCACAGGTAGTAGCAGTGCTGACACTGAACAAGTTCCACTTTTCTTCACCTTTATTCTTCTCTTCCCCTGCTTTAAAGCAACCATTTCTCCTGATGACATTAATTCCAAAAATCTACTTTATTTAACTCATTCATTTAAATCAATGGGGAACATATTTGTAATAAAGTTCAATAGCTCTAACATTATTTGTAAAAGTGAAGCTACTTGCTACAGTTTTTGATAAAACACCCCAATTGAGATATCAAACTAAAACCAGTGATGTATTAGTTCTTGATGAATGAGGCTATTAACAGCTACTGTTTTCTTATGCATTGTCTTCTACTGCAAGTTAGCTGATGTGGGCAGCTGTTACAATTCTCCTGAGAAGTGCTGCATGGCGTGAGCAATGAGAAAGCATATGCAACATACAGACTATCTTACATTGCATTTGAAATTAACACATATAACTGGGTTTCTCCTGAGCTCATTGTAATTAATGCTAAGTTGACCTAAAATTAACTTAATGCAAAATATGCATGTAATATCCTCACCAGTGCTCAAGGGAATGGAATCAATTGATCAAGCTAAGCTCTTTCTAACTCTATGTGAAGTGCTTATTGATAGCACAGTTGTTGTTGTAATTACAGATCATTTCAATATTCTCCTCCCTTTTAGTTTTCTGCTCATCTGATTTTATTGTTTTTCTTTATTTGCAAAGACTTTCATGCACTACTAGTCTTTTTGATCGGTCTCATTCACATATTTGACTAGCAAACAATTTGTACATCAAGAAAGCTGAAATGAAGTGCACCTGTTTGTGTGTGTATTTGTGCCCATGCCTATTTGGATGCCCTGTGTACAATTACACAAATATGTGTTTTGTTTTCTGAGGTGCTGCTAATAAAGCACTCAAAAAATACAAAGCATCTATTTGAATAATTGCTCACTGACATGCACATGCGCACACACACACATACAAATCCATACATAACACATGACAGAGCTACACCGAACAACATGCACACCCATCCAGTCGCTGCCGCTCCTCTCCTGCTCCACTCCAGGGAGCAGATGTTTGGGGACAGCTTACAGCCTCAGCGAATTTCTGTGTACAAAGCAAATAGCAGCACTCAGCACTTCTTGTTGCAAAGAGAAATTTGCTCTTGAGAGGGGGGAGGGAAGGCTGTTGGTTCAATGTAAGGTATTATGAGGATGGGAGGGGAGAAGGGGATGCATGTAGAGGTGAAACTGTGTCAAGGTTGTGACTCTGTTGCATAGGAAACCTCCCCGTTTCCCGAGACATGCGGTGCTGTGTGTTAAAGCGGTGCGGGATGGTATCATGCATAGTACACACAGTACCTCCCCGTGGAATCATGCACCATCAGTGAAATCAGGTGAGGTGTCTCCACTGTATATCTGATTGAGTCTGTCCTCTCCTCACTAGTTTGGACTGCCCTTTCAAAAATTGCAGACAAGCATAAAGTGAAGGGGAAAAGGGAAAACAATGCAATGGGGCTTTACAGAGTTTGCTGATGCTGCAGCTGAGACATCGGCTTTAACCTAGGACCAGCTATGCTAATGATGCCATTGATATAACTCACTGATTTGATGGCACTAGTCCTGTGCTGGTATGCTGCCAGTGCTCTCTTTAGTTGGTAAGTAAAATTTGCAGTATCACTTTAAAAATAATAATGAAAATATCTGTTTTCAACCAACAAAACAGCCCATTACTTCTGTAAAGACTTACATAGTTACATGGTTTCAGCCATTTTTTCCTTTCCAAAATGTTTGCAGTGCTGCTTTACTACATATGCTCAGCAAGATGGTGCACACAGTTTATGTAAATAGGCTCAAGCATACACATGCAGTCTTATGTCCAAACATGTGTGCAAGAAACACACATTTTGACCTCTCATCAATGTATTATAGTCCCTAAACTAACCATCATAAATGAGCCCTGCAATGCTTATTTGTCTGAACGAAGGCAGCTCCCTCCTCCTCTGCCCCCGGGGTGAGGTTGCCATAGTGACAGATTCATAGACATATGGAGAGAGAGGAGAAGGGAGTTGGGTTTGTAGGGGTGGGGCTGCAGGGGTGAGGTGGAGGGGAGGTAGAGGAGAAGTGAATGGGTACCAGTTTGAGGACGTTGACACGCTGTCTTTCAGATGTGTCTTTGTGTTTCATCTGTCAGTCAGCCATCCGTGTCAGTCTGCACTCAGTAAGGGAACAGTTTATGAACTTTTTTCAATCAAGCGCCTGTCAAGCGCCATCTTGGCTGTATCTCTTGAGGGAAAGAATTGAATCTATGCTGGCTTCACAGCCCAAAAACCACAGTGCGTGCAGGCATGCAATAAGCAAATAATTCCCTGGAAATGTGTACAGTTAAATTGTTTTGAAAGAATGTGTTATATTTTGATATATCTGGGAATTTTGTTTTTAACACTAACAACTAATCAACATCAGAAAAACAAACTTACAGATGCCTTTTCTCCTCACTGATTAGATTCAGATGATGTAACCAACCTTTTAGCCAACCTGAGAACCGCTTGACAACGGGCAGTGAGAAACAAGGGGAGGGGGGGTGGGGGGTCAGGTGGTTGTACAGGGATGAAGTGAACATCAGGACGAGCCTTGCTGCAATAAAATCACATTTTTTTCATCAGCAATTTTATGCAAAAGGGGAAGACCAGGTGCTCAATCAAACCTCAAGTCTACTGTTTTATTTTTCATCTTCACCCCTCCCATGCTTCTCCACACAAACCTTCTGTGTGCCTTCCTTCTACCCTCATACCATTCTTCTCCTCCTCTTCCCTCTCTCCATGTCATTTGTCTTCTCCTCTGCCTCTCTGCTGCCTGCTCTCCACCTGATATGAGAGAGTGACCCTTGGGCCCTCAGGAGTCAAGTGATACAAGGTCATTGGCCGGTCATCTCTACTGACAGGCTGACCTCTAAAAGGACTTCTGGAAGGAGCCAATCAGGACCTGCTCCTGCCCCCCTTAGGCAGCTCTCCCTCCCCAGCTCATCAGCAGCCTGTGTCACATGACCAGGGTGAGGCATCAGAGGGAGGATGATTAATGATGCTTTTAGTACCTGTTTAGAATGAAGCTGTCCACACCGCACTGTAATTACCCACTCCCAGGCGGCAGCTGCCCAACATAATTGCTTTTTGTTTGTTGACCTGGTTTATTGTGGAGAAAGATGGCTTTGGTTGGGCAAGATGGTGCTATGTACAGTATGCAAAGGTAAGGATGTATATACTGTATGTTAAAAATCTGGGCGACTGTGTGTTTGTGATACATGTAAGCTACAATAGACTGGGTGAGCAGATATGTGTCTCAGCTGAAAGCGCGTCTTGAGATCAAATCAACATACAATAGTAGCGGTTGTACGTAGCCACAAAATCTCAGTCAGGAAACACTGAGACATGCAACCCTCCCACAGAGGTCAAATGTAGCCACACACCTCTTGTGCAAGGTAAATGCATACCACTGAAATACACATGCACAGTTAAGGAGGCATGTGCTCTGTCATGCATAATTTATGTCAACATTTCAAAAGCATGCACACTGTGTTGCTCTAAAAATTCAAATCTAAGTTCAGAAGGTCAACGGAATACCACAACTAGAGATCCCCTCCCCTACTCTCTTTGGCTACATGCCTAAGGCAAATATGAAAATTTCAGTACCTGCGGCACAGTGCCACGAGGACAGTGACAATGAAACTCAGATAAACAGCCCCTCATTTGACCTATGGAGAGCATAAATTTACCACCTATAAATCCTTGAGTGTGTCAGCTCCTTTTGGTGCAGTTGCAGAGCCTCTCTACCTAGACAGAGA